TGTGGTGGGTGTGTGTGAATGTGGTCAATTGCTTACCTTGCCTCATTATATGTGGTATATCATTATTATTGCCTCGTTATTTGCGAGGTTATGGTGTTAGGTACATGCTATTGATGCATGACTCTATGGGGTTTTCTGCTGAGGCAGAATGGTTCGGTTTCTCTCCACGACATGTTTCCAGGCTTCCTGGCCGATGACACGAAGGCAGGCGTTGCTGGTCAAAATCCTGATGACGTGTCCAGTGTCGATGACGTGCGAAGATGCTCTTCGAAGCTTCTTGTGGCGGGAAGAAGCTCCCGCGCTGCAAGCTGGGAGTAGGGGGACGTTCTTTCCCGCCAAAAACACCGAACGTATTCGAATGGTGCGGGGTGCGTGGGTCTCATGCTCGCGTGCTCCCAAGACCACCCAAACACAAACCCTATCGGATGTGTTTTTTGGACGGTCGAAGATTTATCTAACCAGATATCACACCTTTCTGGGACAAGGATGACAGCTCGGCTAAAAAGAGTAGTCGGTGACGTGTCAACTGCAGGACTGCATGTGATCTGACTGCAAGCACCCTACAATTGACTGGTCGAATTCTTGCAATGACGTGGCACGGCGTTCAAACGCGTTGACGACTCAACCATCAGCCAATAGGAGGAAAGACGTCATTCGAAACTCCACGCTCCCTCACGCAGTTACGCACACACTTTCTTCAGAATGTTTTCGTGGCTGCCCTTTATCCTCGCATCTACAGTTTTCGTTCCCCCATTCAGCCAACCAGCGCCACCAGCCAACGCCTAGCGTTTGCCGAAATTACGTTGACTATCCTGCACTTTTGTGCGCTTCTGCTAGGTGGAGTCAATCGAACCCCACCTCCCCGCTGCTTTCGGCATGATGAGGAGGATGGAAAGCAAGTTTTTTCGGTGGACGTAATCGCTGAAAGATGTTCTTGGGCAGACCCAGACTGGCCTCATTCTGCACGTCTCTTGTTACTGAACAGTTTCTTGTCCGCCACATCATCATTTTCCTAGTCAGCAGCAGGTGTCACACGAAGAGATGACACGGCAACTTGACCAGTCCGAAGTGTGACCAGGCCATTCCAACTCCCACTCAAGCTTCGTGCAGATAGGGTACTCAAGTCAGAATGAAGGGGAAAGGGGTACTGTACAGTAAAGGGAACACCAGGCAAGGACAGAACAGACAACCCTATCCGCACCGAGCCTAGTGCAGCGTTGACATGGTTTGGCTGGGAGGGAGGCACACAAGCCTCCCCTCATTCACCCAACCAGCCGCAGCGCATGGATGCACACAATCCCCGCCACAAACAGAATTGCGTCACCCCCTTTCCCCTTTTCCCCGCCTCCACCTCATCCTCCCCTCTTCCGCTATTCCCCTCGCCTCTCCGCTCACCCACATTTTTCCCCCACAGTGCGTTTAGTGTACAACACGCCACGCCAGTGTACAACATTTCGCCGCTCCAATCCTACGCGTTCTACGCATGTTCAACCCCCTTCTCCCCTCACTTTTCGCACTCTCGCAGCACACACAGCGCCGTACCCGCAGTTCACCTCCCTCGCTCAAGCCTGGCACTCAAGCAAGCACTACAAGCCCAGTTTTCCAACTCCCCAAAGTCTCGAGTCCCGTCCCTCCCGACCGACTCCGTAAGTCTTGAGGGTCCCTCAATCTGCCGTGCCCCTCCCCACATCAGCTGCAGCTCCTTCCTTCGCTTCCCAAGACAGACTGCTGCATGTTTACTTCTCAGCACAGGCTTGCTTCCAGCCCAAGGTTTTCGAGCTAGAACCATACACATTAGCCCCATTTGAGTAGACTTGTCAGCCCGCATTCCATTCCATCGCAAGGTTTTCCCCTTCGAAGCTGCATTCATTCAAAACTACTCGCTTTCCTTGTCTTCTGTCGCTGTCAGCCTCAATCTCGCTGCTGCCAGTCTTTCCACTGCGGTCAAGGATTGATTCTCTCGGCTTCGTCACCTGCGGTCAAAGCTTTCGCGGTCAGCGCTTTCCCGCCATAGCCGCTGCTATTCGAGCTCTCTTGCGCCCCACATTGTGAATTAGAAACGTTGAAGGGTCTCCGTCACCTGAAAGCAAGGAGGTCCAGGCGTGTAGGCCGAGCTACGTTTTAAGCCTTTATTCTGCAGGCCGTCTCGCGCCGCGCTCTTCGTCTGTTCCTGCCTCGCATTGCGGATTCAGGAGCATCTCTAGCTGCTTATTACGCGCCGGGTTTCGCTGCATTTTCTTCTTATCTGCGTTTGAGACATTTCGAGCGGAGCAGTCCGCCGTGTTGAAATTTCAGATCTGAGTCTGAGGCGGCTCCAGCGTTTGTTACATTGTAACAGGGGCTGCTTTCGCGCGAGCATGGTTACCATGTCCATACGTCTCGCGGAGGAGACTTTCGAAGGTGCATCTGGATCTGAGCCGCGGCAACTTCTATCGTCCGTCGCCGCCGCGGACGATTCCATCGCAACTGTCGCCGTCGTCATGGGCGACACCGCTGGCGACGTGCTTGTTGTTGCTGAATGTGACGATGTGCCTCTTCTTGCTGATTGCGACGAAGTTCGCAGAACGACTTACAAGAATGGAGGCGTTGACGGTCTGGATGCGTCCAGTTCGAGCAAACTGGCTGTGGGAAAGCTTGAACCGCCCGAATCGCATGCCGACGCGCGCAAGGCTTCTGTATCTCTGTCTGGGACTAAGGTACGGAGCTGCCGGATGTATGCGTGCGCGCTGGGAGTGGGAAGGGATGGGGATGGGAAGGGCGCTCTATAAGGGCCGTAAGCGAAAGGGGCTGTCTGAGGGGCTAGACTGTTTTCGTGCTGCTTGCTGTCCTGTACTTCGTTGTCGTTTTCGTTGGTGGAAGGTTTTCGGGCAGCAGTCTAAGTTTACAGCTTGCTGCGTCTTGTCGTTGGCGCTTCGCTCGTTAGATTTTTAGCTCTCGCTCATTTCCTGATCTTCTTTCTCCCTCTTTTCCGATTCCTTGACCGTCTTTGTTTTTCAGCGACCGCATGCATCCGCGTTTGAAGGTGCTTCGGAACCAGAGAAGGCCGAAAGGAGGACACTTAACAAGGAAGCGCGGATCTTTTGTTCACCCCATCGCAGCGTTCTGACAACCGTCGACGGCGTCGATTCATCTCCGTCTCAAGCAGATATTGGACGAATCAATCGCGCATCATCCTCTGGACAAGCTGAACTCGATTCCCGGCTGACGCTGCCTACAAACGCTGGATTTTCTACACCAAACTCTCACCTTAAAGTTTCTCCCTTGGGTTCAACTTTGGAAACATCTGAAGAATTTTCTACCCCACAAGGAGATGGATCCCGGATTCCTGTTCCATCTGAATGTCCTGGAACACCCAAAAAGGTGACATTTACCGCATTCATTTCACGTCTTGGTGGCATCGATGGCAACAATGTTGGTGCTACAACCCCGAGCCGACATGACAATGCGGAACATGACACAAGTTGGAGAACAGCACTGCGCAATCCTGAATCTTGCAGTGCATCTGCAACCGACTCGATTGTTCCGCTTGCATCCCCGACGCTTGCCACGGTTGAGAACTTCAGGATTCCATTGGCCCAAGCTCCACGCCGACCCTCCGGCAATCTGAGGAGACTCTTTCGTCCGCTCGACTTCGGTTCTGCAGGCGTCAGATGCTGACGTGGCTGATGTGACCTGTCCCTGCTGATTGGGAGTTCTGACACCACTAACCTTGACTAATGGACTGCTGAGTTCCTGATGTGGCGTTCTGACACCAGAAATTGAGCTACTAAGGAGGCGACTTGTGCTATCTTCTGAAGATCACCACATTGTGGTCTGCTGACCTGATTGCCTCTGCTGCCTCTGCTGATCCGCTCGCCTCTGGGCTTCTGCTGACCTGCAGCTTTCTGTTGGGCTGCTGCTTTTGCAATCTGCCCGCCTTGGCTGAACCCTTGTGGGTTCTGCTGACCTCCTGCTGTTTGTCCCGACCTGCTGCCTCCTGCTGACCTGCTGCTGGCTTGCACTGACCAGGATCAATGTACTATTGCTCTAAGAGCATCCACTTAGAAATGTAGTGTAGAGCGCTGAGGGTAATGTGTTGAAGGCCGTGCACTCTAGTGTTGTTACCGTATTGCCGGGCGCTTTGGCTGGGTTGCATTGTAAGGACAGGGTTTTTTTTTTCATGGGTAGATAGCGGTGCATATTGGATATTGACTTGGGTACATTTGTGAAGAAAATATTGTTTTGTGTAGGCTCTAGCTATCAGAGCTCATTTTTCTTACAAGTTTCAAAAGGTAGGCTCAAACTTGAATGTACTAAGGAATCCATGTGTCAAGCCCCACCTTGTCGAGGTCTGATGTTTCAGCCTCCAGAGGTTACACGTCAGTTCAGATACTAGTGGTGTGTGATGCAGCCACGTCTCACACTTTCAGCCAAGCCAATCAAACGCCCACAAGTGTGGGACGTAGGTTCTGAACTGAAGGCAGCCTCGCGACGGGACTCTTTAAACCGCTACGACGAGCATTGATTGGATAAACCGGTTTTTTATGCGAAGGAAAATATTGGTGGACGAGTTTTACAAACGTTGAGGAACCAGTGCGAACAGGAGCGTCTGAAAATCTGCACATTGTAGCGGAGTATTTCAGCGGAGTTTTCGCGAGTTTTTACCGGCGTCCGTGCGCGAATAATACGACTGTCCCGCGCACCGCGGACCAACGCGCTTCTCGGGGCCCCTCATAAAGCGTACCAGCGCGGCTTCGGTGGCTCCGAATTTTCGATTGTTCTTCGCGTTACGCGGTCGTTGTGCTTTCCGCATTCCGTGCAGTCAAGTCGACAGTGAAGCTTTAGGGCCTTAGGCTGCTTGGAACTCCGCCGTGGAAAGTCGGCTGACGCTTAGCAACTGGCGCTTAGTGGCTGACACTTAACGGCTGATGCGTAGTGGCTGACGCTTAGCGGTTGACGCTTAGTGTTTCACGAGTTGTGTTTGACGAGTAGAGTCGAATTGATGAAGATGTCTTCGGTCGATGCCACGACGGCGCGAGCAGGAGCAGCAGGTATGCTTTTCGAACCGTGTGGGTGTGCGAATTGTGGGTGGGTGTGTGTGTGTGTGGGAGACTTTTGAGGCGACTCAAAGGGCGGAGCGAGCAGGAGCAAACTTTTGAGTCGACTCAAAAGTCACTTTGTGTGGGTGTGCAGGTTGTGGGTGGGTGTGTGTTTGGGGTGGAGACTTTTGAGGCGGCTCCAAAGACGGCTTGAGCAGGAGCAGCATGGGGAGGAGCAACAGGCATGTTTTCCCTTTCCCTTTCTCCTGCACATCTCCCGTTTCTGCTTATATCGAGTCAGACCAGGATGCGCATTGCGCAGTTCCCCCCATTCACAGCTCCTGCCATCCACCCAAATCACCCCCTTCCCCTGTTCCCCGCTCTTCCCGCTTCCCCCCCTCCCATTTCCCCCGCTCCCCCCTCTTTCCCCCTTCCCCTTTCCATGCTCTCCCCGTTTCCCTTCCCCAATTTGTTGCTCACCCTGCTTTCCCCTTTCGCCTCCCCTTAGGCGTTCCCCTCGCTTCTTGAGAATTCTAAAAAAAACAGAATCAGCATAAAATCACTCTCCCCGTTTCCCTTCCCCATTTTGTTGCTCACCATGCTTTCCCCTTTCGCCCCCCCTTCGGCGTTCCCGTCGCTTCCTCAACTCTTCGCCTCCCCGCTCCCCCCCCCCCCTTCCCCTTCCTCGGTCTTCCCGCTCCCCGTCCCGCCCCCCTCCTCGGTCTTCACGCTCTCCGCCCCCCGCCCTCCCTGCTCCCGTTGCCCCGCTTGTACCGAGTCAGACCAGGATGCAGACGCGCAGGTTCCCCGATTCCGGCGGAATAATAACTCTCAGTAGTCTCTGAGGTAAATGCCCCCCGCTCCCCATTCTCGTTGCTGCTCTGTTTCCCTACCCTTCCCCACCACACCTACCATCAGACCAGGATGCAGATGCGCAGGTTCCTTCAATCCGGCGGAATAATAACTCGCAGTGGTCAATGCCCCCCAACCTCCCCCCCTCCCCTCCCCCGCCTTTCTCCCCCTCCCCCCCCCCCCGCTCTTTTTTCGCCTTCCACTTCCACATACCATCAGACCAGGATGCAGACGCGCAGGTTCCCCGATTCCGGCGAAATAACGACTCTGCTGCCGCCGCAACTGGTGCAGCGGGGGCGGGGAGAGCTGGGGGAGAAGACGGAAGGGCAGGGGCAGGGGGAAGGGGAGGGGGACGGGGAGAGGGAGCGGAAGGGGGAGGAGCGGGCGCAGTGAGAGCTGGAGGAGGAGGAGGTGGGGCAGGGGAAGGGGGAGGGGCTAGGGCAGGGCAGGCCGAATTGCGTGCGAATCTGGGTGATTTACCCGCTGAAAATGCTGCTTCTGGTGGTGGCGCCTCTTTTGGAAATGAGGAGGAAGGGGGATATGGGGGGGAAGGTGGGGAGGGGGGAGAGGATGATTATTACGACGAGGATGAGGAGGAGGAGGAGGATGAGGGGGAGGAAGGAGGGCAGGCGGGGGGGGGGGGGGAGGGGGAGGGGGAAGGGCGGGGGGGGAAGGTGGTGCGGGGGGCGCAGGGGGTGGGGGAGGAGTGAGGCGGAGAGGGGGAAGCACGGCTGAGCGAGAGCACAAGAGATTAAGGAGGTATGTGAACGGCTTAGGAGCTTTGCTAACAACTTATGACTATGTGGAGTTTTTGATGTAAAGAGAATTCTGGGGGTTGCGTGAACGACTTACAAGGTATGTGGAGTAAAAGGGAGGTATGTGGGGTTGATAGGGAAGCAAGTGGGGAAGCAAGTGGGGAAGCAAGTGGGGAAGCAAGTGGGGAAGCAAGTGGGGAACCATGTGGGGATGTGGGTGGAGCAGTTAACTGAGGCGGGTTTGACTGGCTTGTACCTTGGATTACCCTTCCCTTCTCACCATCATTCCCTTTACAAGCGGCTTCGTGACATGGTATCGGCTCAGTAGGCAAGGAAGCAGCGATCGATCATCTTCACCAACATCACATTCGTATTCTTATTTCAATCCATACCCTTCACAGGCTGCTCCGCAACAGGGTATCTGCGCAGCAAGCGAGGGAGAGGCGGAAGCAGTACCTCTCGGAACTGGAGGGGCGGGTTTCTCAGCTGGACCAGCGGAACGCTGAGCTAAAAGAAACACTTAGCACCTTGCAGCGGGAGAATTTCATGCTGAGACAGGTATGGAGGGGGTCAGGAACAGCGTTTCACTAAACGGGTGCGATATGTACTGCACCGCGTACCGATTATTGAGCAGGGGTGTTAGCAGCTGGATCAGGAGAAAGCAGGTAAGAGAAGCACTAAGCACCTTGCAACGGGAGAACCTTACATATATCATTAACGTCATTTCCATGATCCCCTCTCATGCCACCTGTTGCCATCGCCCCTCCTCCTATTACTCCCTTTTCCTTGACCTTCCACTTTCCCTGGATCATATCTGGGCTGCTAAGCTTCCAAACTCATATTGGAATAGCTGCAATTCCTGAAGAAAACGCTTAAGCAACTGTAAGGAACAAAACTGTAAAAACTTTCCAGAAATTGAAGTAGTACAAGAAACCCCTTAACCTTCCTCTTTCCCTGGATCATATCTGGGCTGGGCTGCTAAGCTCATGGTATGTGCATGAGTTGCGATTATGGTTCTGAGAGTGATTATGCATGTGATCAAGCGTTTCTTTTCAGATTTGATTGTAGTTTTGCTCCCCCCTTTCCCCCCATGTCCCTCCCTACATCCCCCCCCCCTTCCTTACCCCCTGCCAGGTGGCTCGGAACACGGCTCAAGCAGCTGACGCCCCACCAAGCCATTGACCGGCTTCTCTTTCTAACGAAAACAAAGCTCAAGCAAGAGAGGCTACGGTATTACACACTAAGATTACGCACGCTTTCATTTTATGGGGGATAGAAATGCAGCTCAAGCAGCAAAAGACCTAGAGAATCTCCTTTATTTCAAAACCTCTGAGCTCATGCAACTATATTGTTACCGTATGATAGTGCTTAATTCTTCATTTTCTGGCTTAACTATAACCTGTGCCATCTGTCCAATATACATAAGACATATTCTACATCATCAGAACATGTACTGTAGTACTTACATTCCTAAGAAAAGGAGACGTTCTTTTGAGTGCCTCTGGAAAATGCATGCTTCAAAAGTAGCAGACATGTTGTAACTGCTGTGCATATGTGCAGGAATGAACTCAAGACAGGACAGAAAAACTTGTAACAGTTACCCTGTGCCTCCCCTAAATGTCTCTATCCCACTATCCCTCTGCTCGCCCCTGGGACAAATAGTGCTGCAGAAACCCCACGTGCAGAGCCACAACAATGGGCAGAGGAGCTCCATACCCGTTATAAGCATCTCTACCCAGAGCCATGAGATCTTTTATGCCAGCTTGCTCCTCTAAGCCTCTGCCCGCCCCTGGGACAAGTACTGCTGCACAAACCCCACGTGCAGAGCCACACCAATGGGAAGAGCCGCTTGATGCTCTTCCCTCTAATGGAAGTCCTTACCCTCTGCCTGCACCCCTCTGCATGCCTCCCTATCCCTCTGCCCGCCCCTGTGACAGGAACTGCTGCACGAACCCCACGTGCAGAGCCACACCAATGGGAAGAGCCGCCTCATCAATGGTGAACACAGGGGAATGGAGAGGCGGACTATTGCTGCTGGTGGTAGCTGTGGTGGTGGTGGTGCTGCTGCTGCTCCTGCTGCTACTGCTGCTGTTGCCACTGGTGCTATTAACCCCAGACGCCCCCACTCCCAGGAAGAACATAGCCCCAGGAACAGCCTCCTGATAGAAAGAGAAATCCTCCCCAGCCATCCACGGATCTACATCCAGGCGCACACGCTGCCTATTCTTGTGCGCGCCCCTGTGAGAGAAATCGCTGCACGAACCCCACGTGCAGAGCCATGCCAATGGGCAGAGCCGCTTCATCAATGGTGAACACAGGGGAATGCAGAGGCGGGCTATTGCTGGTGGTGGTGGTGGTGGTGGTGCTGGTGCTGGTGGTGGTGGTGGTGCTGGTGGTGGTGCTGGTGCTGGTGCTGGTGCTACTGCTTCTGCTGCTCCTCCCTCCTCCTACCACTGCGTCTGCCCCTATGCCCTCTACCCCTCTGCCCGCCCCTGTGAAAGAAACTGCTGCACGAACCCCACATGCAGAGCCACGCCAATGGGCAGAGCCGCCTCATCAATAGTGAACACAGGGGAATGGAGAGGCGGACTGTTGCTGCTGCTGCTGGTGGCGGTGCCACTGGTGCTATTGACCTCAGATGCCCCCACTCCCAGAAAGAACATAGCCCCGGGCACAGCCTCCTGGTAAAAAGAAAAATCCTCCCCAGCCATCCACGGATCTACATCCAGGTACGCGGAGCTTCCCAGAAGCTTCTGGACCACGTCGCGGCCGAGCGCGTGCATGCTGACGTCATTCACCGTGGGGGGGTAGGCTGGGATGCGCTTGGGCGGCCAGACGTACCCGAGAGGGTCGGCAAGAGGCTCGGAAAGAGGCTCGGAAGAAGGTTCACCAGAGCTTTTAGCAGTACAGGAGCCCTGAGCCGTATTGCCAGCTGTGTTTGTGCAAAAACCTTCTGATTCTGATTCTGCTGCCTTCGTCGCTTCATCACCACCACCACCATCAGCACCAGCATCAGCTTGCAGATTAGCATCCATCATCCCATAATCCACCTCTCCCCGGCATCCAAACACGCGCGCCTGCGTGTCGATGATGTCAGCAATGCGCCGTTCCAGGTCAGCGAGCCCGTCTTTAGTGGTGGCTCTGTAGGTGCCCCGCAGTGTGACTGTATCGGGGATGACATTATCAGCCGAGCCGCCGTGGAACTGCGTCACCGAGATAACACGTGAAGCGAAAGGGTCAGTCTCTCTCGAAACGATGGCTTGGAGGCTGAAGAAGCGGAGGGAAAGAGGGGAGGGGCGGCAGGGGAATGAAAGCAGGAAGGAAGAAAGTAGGGTGACAGGGGGACAGGTGAAAAGAGGAAACATCAGGGTCAGCGAGCCCGTCCTTAGTGGTGGCTCTATAGGTGCCGCGCAGTGTGACTGTATCGGGGATGACATTAACAGCCGAGCTGCCGTTGAACTGAGTCACTGAGACCACCCGCAAGGCAAAGGGGTCTGTTTCCCTTGACACTATGCCTGGAGGCTGAGAGGGGTAGGGGAGGAGGGGAGGGGGATGACATTGTCGGCCGAGCCGCCGTGAGTCACCGAGATAACTCGTGAGGCGAAGGGGTCTGTCTCCCTTGATACTATGGCCTGGAAGCTGGGGGTAACGGAGGGGAGGAGCGGAGGTGGAAGAGGGTGCAGGGTGAGGGGCATGCAGGGTAGGGCGGGGGGAGGAGGAGGGGAGAATGGCGGTTAGGGAGGAGGAAGCAGGGAGAAAGAAAGGGGATGCGAGAAAAAGAACATCAGAGTCAGCAGATCCAGTTCTTAGGTTTGATTCGACTCAAACCAGGGTTAGAAGATTTGATTTTTAGTGGTGGTGGTATGGTCCCCTTGTCCCAAACAGAGGTTACTGTATACCTGGATTTGAAACAATGCTTCCCCTGATACGATGTGAGCAGCAGCGAGGATGGGGTCTGCCGTTGCAACTGGGATAGTAACTGGGGCATGGCCGGCCGCCGTCGCTCCTCACATGCTGAGCTATAGTGTTCACATTGCTGTGCTATCACGTTCCCCCTACCTTGATACGATGTGAGAAGCAGCGAGGATGTGGTCTGCTGCAAACTGAGGCGCGGCTGCATGGCCCCCCTTGCCCCACACCCAAGAGGTGTTCCCAAGAGGTGTTCAACCGGCCCCAACCCAAGAGGTGTTCAACCGCATTAGTTACCTACCTTGACACGATGTGAGCGGCAGCGAGGATGTGGCCTGCTGCGAAGCGGGGCATGACCGCGTGTCCCCCACTGTGGCCCCTGTGTCCCCCTATGTGCCCCCCGTGCCCCACACTGTGGCGTTGAATCGACCACAGCACGGCCGCCCTTGCCCCACACTGTGGCGGGCAGACTCTTGCTCTCATCTGATGTTCATCTCACCTTGATACGATGTGAGCAGCAGCAAGGATGGCGTCTGCTGCGAACTGGGGCATGGCTGCACGGCCCCCCTTCCCCGAGACAGTGGAGTGCGGTGGTACATTGTCTATCGCACCTGGAGACGATGTGAACAGCAGCCAGGATCGGGTCTGCTGCACACTTAGGCATGGCGGCATGGCCGCCCTTGCCCCTCACAGTGGCCACTGCTTACCTGAAAGTATTCTCATGCAACCCTTACCTGGACACGATGTGAGCAGCAGCGAGGATCGGGTCTGCTGCGAACTGAGGCATGGTCGCATGCCCTCCCTTGCCCCACACTGTGGCGTTGAACCGGCCCGACCCCGCTAGCAGCAGCCCTTCTGTTGCCCCCCGTTTACCTAACCGCCCTATCTACCTATCGCGTTACCTAGAAACGATGTGAGCAGCAGCAAGGATGGGGTCGGCTGCGAATTGAGGCATGGCAGCATGCCCTCCCTTGCCCCGCACTGTGGCGTTGAACCACCCCGGACTGACAGAAGATGTGCAGTGGTGCACTGATTATCTTACCTGGTCACAATATGAGCAGCAGCGAGGATGGGGTCTGCAAACTGAGGCATGGAGGCATGGCCGCCCTTGCCCCTCACAGTGGCCGCTGCTTACCTGAATGTATTGGACACGGCGTGAGCAGCAGCGAGGATGGGGTCAGCAGCCAATTGGAGCATGGCTGCATGGCCCCCCTTGCCCCACTAAGATGTTACAATACCATGTGCTCTTCTCCTTACCTAGAAACGATGTGAGCAGCAGCGAGGATGGGGTCTGCAAAGTGAGGCATGGAGGCATGGCCGCCCTTGCCCCTCACGGTGGCCACTGCTTACCTGAAAGTATTCTCATGCTCATCGTACCTCGACACATTGTGAGCAGTTTTGAGACGTCTCAAATCGCCCTTGCCCCACACCGTGCCCACTGCTTACCTGAATGTATTCTCATGCAACCCTTACCTTGATACGTTTTGAGTCGACTCATAAAGTTCAGTTGTCAGTCGACTCATAAAGTTCAGTTGTCAGTCGACTCAAAACCTTGCCCCACACCGTGCCCACTGCTTACCTGAATGTATTCTCATGCAACCCTTACCTTGACACGATGTGGGCAGCAGCGAGGATGGGGTCTGCTGCGAACTGGGGCATGGCTGCATGGCCCCCCTTGCCCCACACTGTGGCGTTGAACCGGCCTGACCCTGCTAGCAGCATGCCAGGGCGACTACCTACGTAGCCTGCTGGGATCTGCACGGGAGAAACGAAGGGTCAAAGAAAGAGAGGGGGAGTAGTGAAGAGATGAGTTGCCCTTGCCCCACACTGTGGCGTCGAACCGACCCGACCCTGCTAGTAGCATGCCAGGGTGACTGCCCACATAGCCTGCTGGGATCTGAGAGGGAGAGATGGAAGGAGGAACCGAGTGGCGCCAAAGCAAAAGCTGCAGAAGCGGCAGCAGAAGTAGCTGCAGCGAAGGCTAAAGCGGATGCAGCAGACGTGCCCTTGATCGCCAACCCATCCACCATCCGTTTCCCCATTCCAAAACATATTTGTATGCATGCATAACACATTCATACAGATTCATACACTTTCTACCTTAGGTGAGACGTGCAGCGCGAAGGCAGCAGAGGCGCCCTTGAGAGCCCCCCCATCCACCACGCGCTTTCCCCCTGTGTATGCATTTACATACGTATACATAATCTAATCACAAAGAGTTCTACCTTAGGTGAGACGTGCAGCGCGAAGGCAGCAGAGGCGCCCTTGAGAGCCCCCCCATCCACCATGCGCTTCCCCCCTTCCACACATGTATGTATGCATGCAGAACACATTCATACAAATACATAGACTTCCCACCTTGGGTGAGACGTGCAGCGCGAAGGCAGCAGACACGCCCGTGAGAGCCCCCCCGTCCACCATGCGCTTCCCCCCTGCCCCTCCTTCCTCTGCTGGCTGGAAGATAAGACGAACCGTGCCGCCCAAGGTACCTGGGGAAGGCGTGGCAAGAGCAACGACAGAGGAGAGCAGAAGCAAACCATCATGCAAGGAATCAGAGAGAAAGATGTGAAGCAAAAGAGTGAGGAGACACAGCAGAGAGACAAGAGAGGGATGAGATACAGCGGCCATCATTAGAATAAGCCGTCATTAGTAGGGTATGCTGTCATTAGGGTTAGCCATCATTCGGGTAGGCTGTCATCAGGGCAAGCAAGGACACACATCATTCCCACACCCATACATGCAGTCATACTGGCCTGACCATCCAGCAAAGAAAACACTGTCTGCCCAAGCACATGCGCTTCAAAAGCGGACTCAACACATTCTTCCCAGACAAAAAAAGAAAAGAATTTTCGTACCTGCCCGGGAGCGCTCCTGGAGGATTCGGGCAGCGGCAAGCAGCATGGCAGTGTGGGCGTCGTGGCCGCATGCGTGCATGGCACCGGGATGGCGCGACTTGAACGGCACGTCCGTTTCTTCTGTGATTGGTAGTGCGTCCATGTCGGCTCGCAGTGCGACTATGGGCTCTGATCCTGTACCAATGGTTGCCACCACGCCTGGAATGGGATCAACAGCAAGGGTGGGAGGCGAGGGGTCGATAAGGGAGTCGGGGAGCAGGACGGAGCGACTTGAACGGCACGTCTGTCTCCTCTGTGATTGGTAGAGCATCCATGTCGGCTCGCAGAGCCACTATCGGGCCTTCACCTGTACCGATGGTTGCAACAACACCTGGAGAACGGGAAGGAGGGAGGCGCAGAGGGAGGAACCGAGAGTTGAACGGCACGTCTGTTTCCTCTGTGATGGGCGGCGCGACCATGTCGGCTCAAAGCGCCACTATGGGACCTTCGTCTGTGCCGATGGTTGCTACCACGCCTGGGATGGACAGAAGAGCATAGGGGAGGGTGGAGCTGGGACTTGAACGGCACGTCCGTCTCCTCTGTGATTGGTAGGGCATCCATGTCGGCCCGCAGTGCCACTATGGGACCTTCACCTGTGCCAATGGTTGCTACCACACCTGGGATGAACAGAAGAGCATAGGGGAGGGTGGAGCTGGGACTTGAACGGCACGTCCGTCTCCTCTGTGATTGGTAGGGCATCCATGTCGGCCCGCAGTGCCACTATCGGACCTTCGCCAGTGCCGATTGTTGCAACCACGCCTGGGGTGGGCAGGAGGGAGGGGCAGAGGGAGGAACAGAGAGTTGAACAGCACGTCTGTTTCCTCTGTGATGGGCGGCAGGTCCAAGTCGGCTTGAGGAGCCACTATGGGACCTTCGCCTGTGCCGATGGTTGCTACCACACCTGGAGTCACCAGAAAGGGAGTAGCAGGGGGGGCACAGGAGGCTTGAGGAGAGCGTGTGGAGACTTGAAGGGCACGTCTGTTTCTTCCGTGATGGACAGAGCATCCATGTCCGCTCGAAGTGCCACTATTGGACCTTCGACTGTACCAATGGTTGCTACAACACCTGGAGTGGCACCAACAGGGAGGGCGGAGGCGGAAGGTAATGAGGGGAGTGGGGGAGGGAAAGGAAGAATTGGGGCTTGAACGGCACGTCTGTTTCTTCTGTAATGGGCAGAGTATCCATGTCCGCTCGCAGCGCTACTATGAGCTCTGCTCCGGTACCGATTGTTGCTTCCACGCCTGCACTCAACACAAGGGGCATGCGTGCATGGCACCGGGATGGCGCGACTTGAACGGCACGTCTGTTTCTTCTGTGATTGGCAGCGCGTCCATGTCCGCTCGCAGCGCCACTATGAGCTCTGCTCCGGTACCGATTGTTGCCACCACGCCTGGAGTCACCAGAAACGGCGTAGCAAGGGGGACACAGGAGGCTTGAGGAGAGCGTGTTGGGACTTGAAGGGCACGTTCGTTTTATCTCTGATGGGCAGCACATATCTAAGTCAGCACAAACAGCCACTATCGGTCGGTGGTGCGCCAACCGATGGTTGCTACCATGCCTGGCGGGTGTAACAAGGGGGACATAGGAGGCTTGAAGAGAGCATTTCCTGTGTGTTGGGCAGCGCGTTTAAGTCAGGAAAACAGCCACGATCGGTGGGTGGCCACATTTGAGAATTCTCAGAAGTCACTATCGGCCGGTGATGCGCCAGTTCTGTCGACGTAGGGAGGGAAGGGTATTTCCTTGACGCCAGTGTCTCCTGCACCATGGCGCTCGTCCTAAGCTCAAACATACCCGCTATAAGCTTCACAATCTACCAGTTATAAACACCGCTCACCTGTGGTTCCTGCGAAGTTGGCCTGGAATGGTATTCCCAAGGACGCCAGCGTCTCCTGAACCATGGCGCTCGTCCGGAATTCGCGGAACATGAGCTCGGGAATCTCGTGGAGCGCTCTCCTCAGACCCAACACCATGGCCAATCCGTTGCTGCCACGTGCCTCTTCCAGAATCGCCTGGAACGTCACCCCGCCGCTGGCTGACACGTGTGTTGGGGCGAGCAGGAGGAGCAGGAGGAAGAAGAGGTGGAATAGGAGGAGTTGGAGGTAGGGGCGCGGAGGAGGAGCCATGGCGGACCTGCAAGAAGCAACATGATATAAGATAATATTAGTTTGAAAAAATAAAAAACACGAATCGTCTGAAACCCCAAAAAAACCCAGACTGAATCCGGCGATAAGAGGTGCATGCTAGATACGCGCTGGATTTCGAAAGCAATGCGAAAAGAACCAGACGAGAGCGTCGACATTCGTGCAGAGGCAACTGCCATGGATCGAGGAACTTCCTATCTGAAATAATCTGCTAGCAAGATGTTGCAAGATGAAAGAATATTTGGCAAGATCCAACTCTCGTAGCCGTTTTACGGGAAAGACGACGGGATTGTAACGAGAGCCAGACTGTAACGAGAACGACTGGATCAGGGCTCCACGCAGCGCGCAATCTACGATTGCATCTTCTAATGTAGCCCTTACGAGGCGCGTAGCTGTCACAGACACTAAACTGAAGTCGACATAAACGGAAACCAACCTCGTCGTCTTCACGGGTATCGATGACCTAGAGCGAACAAGAAAGTCAATATCTTGCAGGAACGAATCACAGGCCGTGAAACGATTTCTTCACTCGATGTGGAGGTAAGATTCTTGCCAGCGCAAAAACTTGCGCGTGCACAAATCATAGGGGTAAGTCAAATCATCAACACAACACATCATACAGTACCACGCTCATACGTAGCTGGAACGCACTAAACCGTTTGAAACCAATTAAAGCTAAAATCTGAAGGCGCGAATACAAGCACTGGCCCGGCAGCATAGGATTGAGGACGTGTCCACTCTTTCTTCAGGGGTTGATTGATCGTCTACCATCGTCACACAAGCGCATAACCTTCGTAAAAGCGCGCCGATGCCGGGGATCGAACCCGGATCTTCCGCGTGACAGGCGGAGATACTGACCATTATACTACATCGACACGTCCATGGAGATTTAAAAACCTTACAAATAAAGTTCTTTTCACAAACACCCACCAACCTCGTGAATTAAGCCTTCCTACCTGCATCGAAACATGCCTTCCCCATCTCCCCTCCCCTCCCTCCAATATCCTCGCTCTTGGTTCTCGCAACACCGTCATGCGCCACGCTAAACCTGTCATACATGTACATACATGTTCTTCCTTGGTTCTTGCTGCTACCGTCACGGCAGGCACTCACCGCACCACCACACACACACTGCCAGCCCTCAGGTGCAGGGAGGGAGGAGGGACATGTGTGTGGGCGCCGTGTGAATTGCAGATGGAAACAGCGGCAGGTGTAGGAGAAATTTACGGAAAATCACCGACCGAAAACCAATGACCGACTCGGGTACAGTGAATGTACACCCACCTATTCACCAGTTCTAACACACTTCAAACGCACGGAACCGCATTCAAATAAGGATGATTGGCGATGAATCGTCGCGAAGCAGCACAAACCAGTCATGGGAGGTGTTTGTTTGCCTCGCCTTGCCTTCCTCAACACGGGCGGTAGATCACTGTACAGTGACTTACTCACCCAGTTCCACATCTTTGAGCCGTAGTTTGTATCATTCAAAACGTACTATACCTTACGCTGTTCCTGTCGGTCCCACCTGTCTCAGAAACACCCAACCCAACGACTCTTGCCGGCCAAAAGCAAGAGAGACCTCCTCCTCCTGACGTCTGACTCCTAGCACAAACCCAGGTATTATACCTTAGGCCAGGCGACTCATAGCACACATCAAGGCGAGTCCTCCTGAGTAGAACGAATACAGTACCGTGGATCATTACCAGGTGTACATACTTTTCGCCTGTCGCCTCGCTTGCCGGTCTTAACTCCAATTAGTGTTCTCGAGGCGCCTCGAGATTCGCGTTCTGGCCTCGCCTGAGCCGCAGTAACCATATACTCTGTGAGGAATACTCGCTACTAACTACCGTACGCACGCGCCACGGTCGGACGGAATCCATCTGCGTCATTCTCCGCGTTCCGCGTTATCCCCCGCGTCATTCTCCGCAGCAATCATCGCGTCATTCTCCGCGTCATCTCTCCCGTCGCATAGTGCCGTTCTCCGCCACTCTTTCCCGAGTCGCGCCATCTGCACCTGAGTCGTAGCACCGTCCGTCCCGCCGTCAGCTCGCTCACTCGACCCCACAATAGTCTCCGCGCGTCATCTCTCACCATCGCGTAGTACCGTTTTCCACCGCAGAAACACCAGCCGTTACCAGTTTGCCAGAAAACTCCTCGCTCGCTCCCACCTCGCGCGGCTCGCTCGCGACCACTTTTACTAGTCTCCCTGCGACAAGCCGACTGCCTCGTTCTGCAGATCTCCGCGCCAGTTCCGCCAATTCCGCCGTTCCGCCCGTTCCGCCAGTACCGCAAGTTCCGCGAATTCCGTAACTTCCGCCAGTTCCGCCATCGCGCGCGTCATGCACGGGCGGCGGCTTCAGCCGGCGCTACGCTCTCCCCGCGTCCTCCAATCGCGACACGTCTGCACGGCCGCTGCGCCGCTCGTTTCGCTCGTTTTGCTAGCACTCGCGTCGTTCGGGGGATTCGGATCGGTGCAAGTCGGTGCTACGCCGTTCAGCGTGTATGACTCGTACCAGCCGCCGTGCCCCTTCCTGCCCGACCCTCCCCCGCAAGGTGCGGCCGCTCCCCCACTCCACAGGTACAACCCTCCCCCGCAAGGTACGTCCTCCCTTCCCCCCTTCCTGCCCGACCCTCCCCCGAAGGTAGTACGGCCGCCCTTCCCCCAAAGGTACGACCCTTGTAACGCCTGTGGGCAGTGCTAACGGGCATTCCGCTGCGCCAAATAACACCCTCGTTTTGACCCAGTGGGTAGCGAGGTGTTATAACTTTTCTCCGCAAGCTACGACTTTTCCTCCCACACACGGTACGACCTCCCCCGCAAGCTACGGCCGTTCTTTCCCGCCTTCCAAAGGCACGGCTCTTCCCGCAAGCTACGATCCTTCCCCGCAAGCTACGCCTTTTCCTCCCCCACACGGTACAACCCACTCCTCCCCCCGCCTCCCTCTCCCCCTTTCTCGCCCCCCCCATGCGCGGTGTAATGCCCCCCCACGCGGCACAATTTCCCCCACGTGGCACGATCCCCCCCCACGCGGCTCAATTCCCCCCACGCGGTGCGCGGTGGCGCACCGCAAGGCACGATGTGTGCCCCGCGCAGTCCGCGGGAAGGCATGGTAATAGTAGGGAATCCGCGCGGCCTGTGCGACATGGAATTCAGATCAGTCCATGACTTTTCCCTCCCCTCCCTCCCTTCCTCCCCTCCCCTCTCCTCCCCTGCACTCCTCTCTTACCTCCTTCCCTCCCCTCCCCTCTCCCGCTCTGACTTTTCTCTCTCTTTTTTTTTTTTTCCAATTCCTTTTTCGTTTTTCAATATTTGCCAGGCTGGAAGCGGTGGAGCGACCCTGCCACGTGGACCAATGGTGGCAGCTCCGTGATTCCCGGGGTGAAGGCCACGGGGGGCGAGTGGGCGGATGTGACTATACCGTGCGGGACGGCCGTGCTGCTGGATGTGCCTCTAGTGAGCCTCAACAGGCTCGTGATCAAAGGCTGGCTCAGGTGAGGTTTATATGTGTATGTATGGGTATGTACAGTGTATGTGCATCTCCGTGCTGCTGGATGTGCCTTTAGTGAGCCTCAACAGGCTCATAGTCAAGGGATGGCTCAGGTACGGCTATGTGTGGACGTGTGCGTGTATATGTGCGCGTGTATACGTGTGCGTGTATATGTGTGCGTGTATATGTGTGCGTGTATATGTGTGCGTGCGTATGTACTGTATACGTGTGTGTGTGTGCGTGCGCGCGCGTGCGTGTGCGTGTGCGTGTGTCTCTGTGTGCGTGGGCGTGTGCGTGTGGCACAACACTTCCCCATCGCTCCCAACTATGGAGGTGCAAGCAGCCTTCATTATCGTCCATCCAAGGCCGTCTCTCAGTCGGCTCAACTGCAACGCCCTTCCCCTCTCCCCTTTTCCACCCCACCTGTGTGGGCACACTTGTCTCTCTCTGTGTCTTCACTCCAAACAGGGTCCTCGACTCACCATCCCTTCCAAGAGTGGAGGTGCAAGCAGCCTTCATTATCGTCCATCCAAGGCCGTCTCTCAGTCGGCTCAACTGCAACGCCCTTCTTCTCTCCCCTCTTCCACCCCACCTGTGTGGGCACACTTGTCTCTCTCTGTGTCTTCACTCCAAACAGGGTCCTCGACTCGCCATCCCTCCCAAGAGTGGAGGTGCAAGCAGCCTTCATCATAGTTCAAGGCCGTCTCTCCGCCGGATCCACTGCAACGCCCTTCAGCCGCCTCGCCCTCTTCACCCTCCTCCCCTCGCCCTCTCGCGCCAACTTCACCCTCACTGATCTCGCACCAGCCGACCCCCTAAACCCAAGGAACCTGGGTCACAAGGCTTTTATCGTGGTACGTTGTTCTCCCCAATTTCTTGTGCTATGTTGCTTCCTCCCGTCCGCCCTTCAGCCGTCTCGCTCTCTTCACCCTCCTCCCCTCGCCCTCTCGCGCCAACTTCACTCTCACCGACCTTGCTCCAGCCGACCCTTTAAACCCCCGCAACCTCGGCCACAAGGCCTTTATCGTGGTTCGTTCCCTTTTCGCCCGCCTCGTTCTCTCCTCTCCCCTCATAGTACGAGCTATCTCGTACTATGAGGGACGGCGATGCCACACAGTGGCCTGTATTTGTTCCTCTCTGTCCTCTGTCCTCTCTATCCTCTGTCCTCTCTATCCTCTGTCCTCTCTCCCTGCTACAGGTGGGAGGCGCAGTGGACTTGCACGGCATGCCCGGCTCCTCCTCTGCCCCAGCATGGGTGCGCATGGCAAGGACAGTGGCACCCGGGGATAAATTCTTGTTGGTGGATGGCGATGGGGATGGGGATGGGGATGGGGATGTCACTCAGTGGCCTGTATCCCTCCCATCTCCCCCCATCTCTCCCCCCTGGCAAGGACAGTGGCACCCGGGGATAAGTTCCTGGTGGTGGACGGATGGCGATGGGGATGGGGATGTCACTTACTGGCCTCTGTTTGTGCCTCCCTCTCTCTCACTCTGCTCCAGGTGGGAGGCGCAGTGGACCTACATGGCATGCCCGGTTCCTCCTCTGCTCCTGCATGGGTGCGCCTAGCAAGGACAGTGGCTCCCGGGGATAAGTTTGTGGTGGTGGACGGCGATGTCACTCAGTGGCCGGTACTTGTCTCTCGCTGTCCCCTGTCCTCTGTCCTCTGTCCTCTGTTCTCTGCATCCCTGTCCCCATGTGGGAACCAGGTGGGAGGCGCAGTGGACCTACATGGCATGCCCGGGTCTTCCTCTGCTCCTGCGTGGGTGCGCCTGGCAAGGACAGTGGCTCCCGGGGATAAATTCCTGGTGGTGGATGGTGATGGTGATTGTGATGGTGATGGTGATGGTGATTGTGATGGTGATGGTGATGGTGATTGTGATGGTGATGGTGGTTCCACTCAGTGGCCTGTATCTGTTCCTCTCCCATCCCCTTCCCCTCTATAAACAGGTGGGAGGCGCAGTGGACTTGCACGGCATGCCCGGTTCCTCCTCCGCCCCTGCGTGGGTGCGCCTGGCAAGGACAGTGGCTCCCGGGGATAAATTCCTGGTGGTGGATGGTGATGGTGATGGTGATTGTGATGGTGATGGTGATGGTGATTGTGATGGTGATGGTGGTTCCACTCAGTGGCCTGTATCTGTTCCTCTCCCATCCCCTTCCCCTCTATAAACAGGTGGGAGGCGCAGTGGACTTGCACGGCATGCCCGGTTCCTCCTCCGCCCCTGCGTGGGTGCGCCTGGCAAGGACAGTGGCTCCCGGGGATAAGTTTGTGGTGGTGGATGGTGATGTCACTCAGTGGCCGGTCGGCGGCACTGTAGCAGTTGCGTCCACTAGTGCGAATATGAACGAGGCCGAGACCGGGGTGATTACTTATGGTGAGTGGGATTGTCGCGAGTGGGATAGTAGCTAGCGAGTGTGTGTCATTTAGTGGGCGTGATTATAGCAAGTGTGGTTTTAGCAAGTGTGTTTATAGTTGCGTCCACTAGTGCAAACATGAGCGAGGCGGAGACCAATTTTGAGGCGCCTCAAAACGAGGCGGAGACGGGTGTGATTGTAGTGAGGTAATGAGCATGAAGTAGTGAGAGTGATTCTTCCCATTTATGCAGTGGTCCCAGTGTCTAGATTCTGGCAGGGCCCCACTCTCTTTAATTGTTTTTCCTCCATTTTTCTCCCCCCTTTACAATCACAGTCGCTCCCATGCCTTCGGGGGGGGGCTTCTATGTTGGATTGGCCAAGGCTCTTAGGTTCCGCCATGAGGGTAGTCTTCAAGGCACCCCTGATGGAGTCGGGGGTACGGTGGATATTCGAGGGGAAGTTGCCCTTTTGGACCGGAATATCATCATCCGGGGGTTCAAGGAGAGCACCCTACGACACAGATGGTAAGCAATCCCTCCCTTCCCCCCCTTTTTTTACAGGCGGTCACTTCATGGTGTTTATAACACGCACACCACAATTCATAGAGGGGATTCAGTTCCTGGGCCTGGGCAACAAGGGCACGCTGCTGGGGCGTGGCACTCACTTCTCTTCCTTTGTGCCCCGTTAACATTCCCTCCTGCATCCCCGTCACTTCATGGTGTTTCTAACGCGCACACCACAATTCATCGAGGGGGTTCAGTTCAGTTCCTGGGCCTGGGCAACCAATGCGTGCTGTGTTGGGGCGCTTTTGAGAATTCTCAAAAGTCGTGCACTCACTTCCCTCCTCCTCTGCTCCCTTTCTTCTCCTTTACCTTTCCCTCCTGCATCCCCTTTACAGGAGGTCACTTCATGGTGTTTATGACGAAAACGCCGCAATTCATCGAGGGAGTGCAATTCCTGGGCCTGGGCAACCAGGGCACGCTGGGGCGGTACCCCCTACACTTCCATATCTGTGGAGACAACAACCAGGCGCACGTGGTTAGGAAGAACGTGATTGCTGCGAGCAACCAGGTGTGAAGATGTGATGTAGAGTGTGGTAACCAGCCCTAGGTGTGTGGGCAGCCAGGTGTGTGGGCAACCAGGTTTGGATGAAGACTGCATGTAGGGCTGGGCACCTGTTGGGTAGTTGTGGGTGTGGCTGGGCAACCAGGGCACGCTGGGGCGCTACCCGCTGCACTTGCACATCTGCGGAGACAACAACCAGGCGCACGTGGTTAGGAAGAACGTGATTTCTGCGAGCAACCAGGTGTGAAGAACTCTTCCCCCCTCCTATCCCTGTCGTCTCCCTCCCCTACCACTCTCTTGCCTGCTGTTTACAGCGCTGTGTGGTCATCCATGCCACCTCGGATGTGACTATAGAGGAGAACGTGGCGTTTGAGACCAAGGGGCACTGCTGCTTGTCCCCCACTCTCAACCTGTGATTGCGTTTGGCTCTGCCCTCCTCCCTTCCACTCTGCAGCGCTGTGTGGTCATCCACGCCACCTCCGATGTGACTATAGAGGAGAACGTGGCATATGAGACCAAGGGGCACTGCTTTATAACGGAGGAGGGCAGCGAGTATAACAATGTGTTCAAACGCAACCTGGGCATCAACATCCGCGGAGGTGAGGGGAGTTGAGGTGCGGTTGAGAGGAGCGATGTGTGGTGACAGGGGTGAGGGGTGGTTGAGACCAAAGGGCAGGCACTGCCTCATAACGGAGGAGGGCAGCGAGTATAACAATGTGTTCAAACGCAACCTGGGCATCAACATCCGCGGAGGTGAGGTGTGGTTGGGTTAGCTGGGTTCATGAGCAGAGTTGAGGCACAAAAGGGGGGGAGGCGAGGTTGGGCGTATGAGTAGAGGGTATTTTTGAGACGTCTCAAAAATACCCTCTCTACATGAGGGGTGGTTGGGTTGGCTGGGTTCATGAGCAGAGTTGAGGCACGCAAGGGGGGGAGGCGAGGTTGGGCGTATGAGTAGAGGGTATTTTTGACACGTCTCAAACATACCCTCTCTACATGAGGCGTGGTTGGGTTGGCTGGGTTCATGAGCAGAGTTGAGGCACACAAGGGGGGGAGGCGAGGTTGGGCATATGAGGTGAGGGGAGACTGCTTTCGGACGGAGGAACATTCTCGGAGGTGAGGGGTAAAGGAGGTGACGTAGAGAGGCGGTGAGGTGGAGGAGTAGACGGGGTAGTTGCACGGATGTCGCCATACAATAATAATGTTGTACCTCTTCCTGTCATTACCCCCTCCCTCTCTCCTCCTTCCTCCACCAGCGATTCCTCCAGAGACCTCAGACAGACTAGACAGACAGTCGGACAACTTCTAGGGCTGGCCACCCACCTTGTTTGAGGTTGATTTTGAGAATTCTCAAAATCAACTTCTAGGGCTCGCCACCCACCTTCTGGATGGCTAAATGTGCCTTGCACTCTTCCTTCCCCCCTTTTCTCGGCCCTCCACTCCCCCCACCAGTGCGCAAGGTGATCCCCCCTGGAACCTCAGACAGACTGGACAGGCAGTCGGACAACCAGGCCACCGCCTTCTGGATGGCCAGCCGCCCTAGACTCATCCTTGCCTCCCCCACTTCCCCCCTTCCTCCATCCACTGGTGTGCAAGGTGATCCCCCCGGAGACCTCAGACCGCCTTGACAGACAGACGGATAACCAGGCCACCACCTTTTGGATGGCTCATGCCCTCCTGACCTGTCTCCCCCTCTTCTCCCCCATCCCTATCCCCTTCACTGTCCCCTTCCTGTCTCCCCTCCACCAGTGCGCAAGGTGATCCCCCCTGAAACTTCCGATCGACTGGACAGACAGACGGACAACCAGGCCACCACCTGTTGGATGGCCGCTCTTACTCTCAACCTCTACATCTCCTCCCTATTCTCCCTCCTCCCTCCACCAGTGCGCAAGGTGATTCCCCCTGAGTCGTCAGACAGATTGGACAGACAAACAGACAACCAGGCCACCACCTTTTGGATGGCCAGCGGTCCCTTACACCCCTCCGTGCATCCCAACCCCACCATCCACCCTCTGTCCCCCTCCACTCCACCAGTGCGCAAGGTGATCTCTCCCGAGACCTCGGATCGCCTGGACCGGCAAACAGACAACCAGGCCACCACCTTTTGGATGGCCAGCCCTCGCAACGACCTGATCGGGAACGTGGCGGCTGGATGTGACAATACCGGGTGGGTGATTTGTGACTGTAATGGGTAGGGTGAGTGGGTGTGACTGTACAGGGAGACAGACAGACGGACAACCAGGCCAGGCCACCACCTTTTGGATGGCCAGCCCTCGCAACGACCTCGTAGGGAACGTGGCGGCTGGATGTGACAATACCGGGTGGGTCATTTGGGAGTGTATTGGGTAGGTATGGGTGTGACTGTACAGGGAGACAGACAGACGGACAACCAGGCCACCACCTTTTGGATGGCCAGCCCTCGCAACGACCTCATTGGCAACGTGGCGGCTGGATGTGACAATACCGGGTGGGTGTGACTATATGGGAGACTGAATGTGACAATAGAGGGTGGGTGGGTGTGAGTGTATCAGAAGACAGGCAGACGGACAACCAGACCACCACCTTCTGGTACGGGACTCCCCTCATGCGAGTCTCCAAACGGCTTGATCTGGGCGGCACCCCCCACCTGAACCTCAGCTATCTTCCCATGTCCTCACATGTCCCCCCCACCAGCTACTGGTACGAGATGCTGGCTAGAATGAGGGGTGCGTCCAAGAGGCTTGACCTGGGCGACACCCCCCCATGCCTTTCTTTGACTCATTCCATGCGCCCCATCTCCCTCTCTCCCCTACCTCAACGCCCCTGCCTCCCCACTCACCAGCTTCTGGTACGAGATGCTCGCTAGAATGAGGGGGGCTTCCAAGCGGCTTGATCTGGGCGACACCCCCATGCCCTTCTTCGACTCGTTCGGCAAGTTTGACGGCAACGTGGCTCACTCGTGCAAGGCTGGCGTGCGCATGTATCCCCATGGGAACCGCCCCCCCAAGGAGGTGAGTGCGGTTGAATGCGGTTCACTGAGTGTAATTCGGCGTTCGTGGGTCACTCCTCCAAGAGGCTTGATCTGGGTGACACCCCCATGCCCTTCTTCGACTCGTTCGGCAAGTTTGACGGCAACGTGGCTCACTCGTGCAAGGCTGGCGTGCGCATGTATCCCCATGGGAACCGCCCCCCCAAGGAGGTGAGTGCGGTTGTACTTCTTTCCCAACACCCACCTTGTGCTTCTTACCCAACACCCACCTTGTACTTCTTACCCAACACCCACCTTGTACTTCTTTCCCAACACCCACCTTGTACTTCTTTCCCAACACCCACCTTGTACTTCTTTCCCTCCTGCAACAGTCCTTGACTCTTGACGCGTATCACTCTCACACCCACCTTGTGCTTCTTGCCCTCTGCTCTTCTCGCCCTGCCACCCCCCACAGATCACCAGCCAAGCAAGCCTCTGGAGCTGCGTCAACCAAGGCGGTTTCTGCAGCAGTCCTTGAAGCATAACACCTTCCTCCCGTGCCTGCATTGTGTTTCTTCCCCTCTCCTCCTCTCACCCTGCCTTCCCCCACAGATCATCAGCCAAGTAATCCTCTGGAGCTGCGTTACCCTCTCACCTTGTGCGTCTTACCCAACACCCACCTTGTCCTTCTTTCCCTCTGCTCTGCTCTTCTCACTCTGCCTTCCTCCACAGCGCACCAGCCAAATCAGCCTCTGGAGCTGCGTTACCCTCTCACCTTGTGCTTCTTACCCGACACCCACCTTGTGCTTCTTACCCAACACCCACCTTGTACTTCTTACCCAACACCCACCTTGTACTTCTTTCCCAACACCCACCTTGTACTTCTTTCCCAACACCCACCTTGTACTTCTTTCCCAACACCCACCTTGTACTTCTTTCCCTCCTGCAACAGTCCTTGACTCTTGGCGCGTATCACTCTCACACCCACCTTGTGCTTCTTGCCCTCTGCTCTTCTCGCCCTGCCACCCCCCACAGATCACCAGCCAAGCAAGCCTCTGGAGCTGCGTCAACCAAGGCGGTTTCTGCAGCAGTCCTTGAAGCATAACACCTTCCTCCCGTGCCTGCATTGTGTTTCTTCCCCTCTCCTCCTCTCACCCTGCCTTCCCCCACAGATCATCAGCCAAGTAATCCTCTGGAGCTGCGTTACCCTCTCACCTTGTGCGTCTTACCCAACACCCACCTTGTCCTTCTTTCCCTCTGCTCTGCTCTTCTCACTCTGCCTTCCTCCACAGCGCACCAGCCAAATCAGCCTCTGGAGCTGCGTTACCCTCTCACCTTGTGCTTCTTACCCGACACCCACCTTGTCCTTCTTTCCCTCTGCTCTGCTCTTCTCACTCTGCCTTCCTCCACAGCGCACCAGCCAAATCAGCCTCTGGAGCTGCGTTACCCTCTCACCTTGTGCTTCTTACCCGACACCCACCTTGTCCTTCTTTCCCTCTGCTCTGCTCTTCTCACTCTGCCTTCCTCCACAGCGCACCAGCCAAATCAGCCTCTGGAGCTGCGTCAACCAAGGCGCTTTCTGCAGCAGTCCTTGAAGCATAACACCTTCCTCCCGTGCCTGCATTGTGTTTCTTCCCCTCTCCTCCTCTCACCCTGCCTTCCCCCACAGCGCACCAGCCAAGCAAGCCTCTGGAGTTGCGTCAACCAAGGCGGTTTCTGCAGCAGTCCTTGAAGCATGACACCTTCCTCCCGTGCCTGCATTGTGTTTCTTCCCCTCTCCTCCTCTCACCCTGCCTTCCCCCACAGATCATCAGCCAAGTAAGCCTCTGGAGCTGCGTTACCCTCTCACCTTGTGCTTCTTACCCGACACCCACCTTGTCCTTCTTTCCCTCTGCTCTGCTCTTCTCACTCTGCCTTCCTCCACAGCGCACCAGCCAAATCTGCCTCTGGAGCTTCATCAACCAAGGCGCTTTCTGCAGCAGCATCAGCTACCGGTTCTCTTCCCATGTCCGTTTCTGCGCAATCTATGGACACCAAATCTCCTCCTGCTGGCGCTGATGTTTTCCCAAACCAGCCATCGGCCTCCTCAGCTGTTCAGGAGTCTGTTTCATCCCAACTGCTCCGGTCGTATCTCAACCCGGCGGGAGGCATTGTGGCAGCAAGCGCAGCGTCTACTAACGAGGATGATTTCAACCTGGGAAGCAGCATCAGGGGCAGTAGTAGGGTCACCACCACTGCTGCTGCTACTGCTGCCACCACTGCTACCACCGCTGCTACCACCACCACTGCCAACCCCCTCTTCACCATCCAGAACCTTCCAACCGAAAGCACCTCTCCCACCCTCGCCTCTTCAACCCTTGACTCTTCCACCCAAGGCAATCCTTCCAATCCTCCCACCGACGGCTATCCCTCTCCTATCGCCACCAACCCCACTTCAAACCCCTCAACCGTTTCAGACAGCCCCGAAACCCCTCTCGACCCCTCATCTGACCCCGTGTTTGCAAAAGAGCTGGATTTCTGGCAAGACGAGGAGGTGGCAGCTATTTTCTCCTCTCTTTCCCGAGCCTCGCTGCCCCGGCTTCCCAAAGCTACCCTCTCGCGCATCGCCCAGCTTCGGAACAGGCTCGGGCTGTCTAGGTTCGGGCACAGGCTCGGGAAGGGGCTTGGGAACAGCCTCGGGAAGTGGCTTCGAGGTTCGGCAGGGGGTGGTAACCAGAGCGGCATCGAGCTGAACAGTGTTGCGAGCGTGCGGGCGGCGGTTGTGTCGTTTAGGTTCGGGACGTTTGAGTCGCCGGTCGGGATTGCGCTGAGCCAGCAGCATTGGATGGACCCTTCCGGAAGCGTCAAGATCTCAGGATGCTCGTAAGTGGAGTGGAGAGAAGATTGAGTTGCATGAACTGTTGCGAAATTTCGTTAAAAGTGTTTCATTGTATCGAGTCAGCAGCATTGGATGGACCCTTCCGGAAGCGTCAAGATCACGGGATGCTCGTAAGTGGAGTGGAGAGAAGAATGAGTTGCATGAACTGTTGTACGATTGCGCTTAGAGCGTTGCGTTGCATTGTATTGTATCGAGTCAGCAGCATTGGATGGACCCTTCCGAAAGCGTCAAGATCACTGGGTGCTCGTAAGTGGAGTGGAGAGAAGAATGAGTTGAATGAGGTGGGTTTTTGAGGCGCCTCAAAAACCACCTTAATGAGTTGAAAGAACAGTTGTACAATTGCGCTTAGAGCGTTGCATTGCATTGTATTGAGTCAGCAGCATTGGATGGACCCAGCTGGCAGCGTAAAGATCTCAGGATGCTCGTAAGTGGCAAATGAGCTGAATGCCAGGCTGCCATCGTGCAACCCTGTGCAATGATGCCAGAATGAATGATGCGCCATGTGCAACCCTGCCAGCCTGCCATCGTGCTTCACTCCTCTCACTCCTCCTTGTCGTTGCGCTTTGCCTCCCCCACCCTCCTCCCCTCCCATCCTCACTCCTCTCACTCCTCCTTGTCGTTGCGCTTTGCCTCCCCCACCCTCCTCCCCTCCCATCCTCACTCCTCTCACTCCTCCTTGTCGTTGCGCTTTGCCTCCCCCACCCTCCTCCCCTCCCATCCTCACTCCTCTCACTCCTCCTTGTCGTTGCGCTTTGCCTCCCACCCTCCTCCCCTCCCATCCTCACTCCTCTCACTCCTCCTTGTCGTTGCGCTTTGCCTCCTCCACCCTCCTCCCCTCCCATCCTCACTCCTCTCACTCCTCCTTGTCGTTGCGCTTTGCCTCCCCCACCCTCCTCCCCTCCCATCCTCACTCCTCTCACTCCTCCTTGTCGTTGCGCTTTGCCTCCCCCACCCTCCTCCCCTCCCATCCTCACTCCTCTCACTCCTCCTTGTCGTTGCGCTTTGCCTCCCCCACCCTCCTCCCCTCCCATCCTCACTCCTCTCACTCCTCCTTGTCGTTGCGCTTTGCCTCCCCCACCCTCCTCCCCTCCCATCCTCACTCCTCTCACTCCTCCTTGTCGTTGCGCTTTGCCTCCCACCCTCCTCCCCTCCCATCCTCACTCCTCTCACTCCTCCTTGTCGTTGCGCTTTGCCTCCTCCACCCTCCTCCCCTCCCATCCTCACTCCTCTCACTCCTCCTTGTCGTTGCGCTTTGCCTCCCCCACCCTCCTCCCCTCCCATCCTCACTCCTCTCACTCCTCCTTGTCGTTGCGCTTTGCCTCCCCCACCCTCCTCCCCTCCCATCCTCACTCCTCTCACTCCTCCTTGTCGTTGCGCTTTGCCTCCCCCACCCTCCTCCCCTCCCATCCTCACTCCTCTCACTCCTCCTTGTCGTTGCGCTTTGCCTCCCCCACCCTCCTCCCCTCCCATCCTCACTCCTCTCACTCCTCCTTGTCGTTGCGCTTTGCCTCCCACCCTCCTCCCCTCCCATCCTCACTCCTCTCACTCCTCCTTGTCGTTGCGCTTTGCCTCCTCCACCCTCCTCCCCTCCCATCCTCACTCCTCTCACTCCTCCTTGTCGTTGCGCTTTGCCTCCCCCACCCTCCTCCCCTCCCATCCTCACTCCTCTCACTCCTCCTTGTCGTTGCGCTTTGCCTCCCCCACCCTCCTCCCCTCCCATCCTCACTCCTCTCACTCCTCCTTGTCGTTGCGCTTTGCCTCCCCCACCCTCCTCCCCTCCCATCCTCACTCCTCTCACTCCTCCTTGTCGTTGCGCTTTGCCTCCCCCACCCTCCTCCCCTCCCATCCTCACTCCTCTCACTCCTCCTTGTCGTTGCGCTTTGCCTCCCCCACCCTCCTCCCCTCCCATCCTCACTCCTCTCACTCCTCCTTGTCGTTGCGCTTTGCCTCCCCCACCCTCCTCCCCTCCCATCCTCACTCCTCTCACTCCTCCTTGTCGTTGCGCTTTGCCTCCCCCACCCTCCTCCCCTCCCATCCTCACTCCTCTCACTCCTCCTTGTCGTTGCGCTTTGCCTCCCCCACCCTCCTCCCCTCCCATCCTCACTCCTCTCACTCCTCCTTGTCGTTGCGCTTTGCCTCCCCCACCCTCCTCCCCTCCCATCCTCACTCCTCTCACTCCTCCTTGTCGTTGCGCTTTGCCTCCCACCCTCCTCCCCTCCCCTCCCATCCCCACTCCTCTCACTCCTCCTTGTCGTTGCGCTTTGCCTCCCACCCTCCTCCCTCCTCCCTCCTCTCCCCCTCCTCCCATCAGCTTCGCACAGTGCGCCATGTGCAACCCTGCCAGCCTGCCATCGTGCTTCACTCCTCTCACTCCTCCCCTCGCCTCCCACCCTCCTCCTCCTCTCCCCCTCTTCCCCTTCCCCCGCTCCCCTCCACCCCCTCCCCTCCCCTCGCTCTCCTTCCCTCCCCTCCCCTCCCTCTCCTCTCCTCCCTTCCCCTCTCTCTCCTTCCCTCTCTACATGCAACCCGGCTAGCCCTGCCATTGTGGCGCAAGCAACCGTCTTTGACGTTCTTACTTAAAGCCCGTCTATCCCTCCCCCTTTCCCTTTCTTCCCCTTCCTCTGAACAGCTTCACGCAGTATGCCACATGCAAACCGGCTAGCCCTGCCATTGTGGCACAAGCAACCGTCTTTGACGTTCTTACTTAAAGCCCGTCTATCCCTCCCCCCTGCCATTGTGCCACAAGCAACCGTCTTTGACGTTCTTACTTCAAGCCCGTCTATCCCTCCCCCTTTCCCTTTCTTCCCCTTCCTCTGAACAGCTTCACGCAGTATGCCACATGCAAACCGGCTAGCCCTGCCATTGTGCCACAAGCAACCGTCTTTGACGTTCTTACTTAAAGCCCGTCTATCCCTCCCCCTTTCCCTTTCTTCCCCTTCCTCTGAACAGCTTCACGCAGTATGCCACATGCAAACCGGCTAGCCCTGCCATTGTGGCACAAGCAACCGTCTTTGGTTTTTTCTGACTGGAACCATCCACTCCTCTCTCCTCTCCTCCCTCCCCCACTCCTCTCCTCTCCTCCTCCCCTCAGCTTCACCCAGTACGCCACGTGCAACCCCGCCAGCCCTGCCATCGTGCTGCAGTGCTCTCACCGATCCTTATCCTTGCCTTATTGTTGCTCCTCTTCATCCCACCCACTACTCCCCCTCCTCCCCTCAGCTTCACCCAGTACGCCACGTGCAACCCTGCCAGCCCTGCCATCGTGGCGCAAGCAACCGTCTTTGGAGGCTTCTGGGACACGTCAACAGCCACGCAGGTACGCTCTTGTGAAAGAAATCCAAGTGAGTTGATTTAGCAGACACCAGACGTGCGATCATGGTGCAAGCAACGGACTTCTTTTGAGTCGACTCAAAAGCGGACTTCTTTTGAGTCGACTCAAAAGCTGGTGCAAGCAACGGACTTGGGCTGACAATTCCACCCAAGAGAATATGTGGGATATGTGTCTAAACTCTTTGACTTATTTGTTTCTCTGCCCTCCTCCTTTGCTCCCGTGCTCTTCCAATCCCCTCTCCTGTCGCCCCTTGTCGCCTTGCCCTCGCCACTGCAGGCTCTGAAGTTTGATGCGACCACCAGCCGGGTCTACTGGCAACAAGAAGCGCTTGGCATCACGCATAAACCTCCTTCACCTTTCTTACTGCTTGCCCTCCCCTTTTGCTTCCTTGTCCTCTCCACTGCAGGGTCTCAAGTTTGATGCGACCACCAGCCGGGTCTACTTGCAACAAGAAGCAGCGTTCCCGCCTCCTTTTCTCCCTTGCCCTCGCCAATCCCCTCGCCCCCTTGACCCTTGCCCCTCTCCCCCTTGCCCTCGCCATCCCAGGGTCTCAAGTTTGATGCAACCACCAGCCGGGTCTACTTGCAGCAAGAAGCGCTTGGCATCACGCATAAACCTCCTTCACCTTTCTCACTGCTTGCCCTCGCCAACTCCTTCCTTGTCCTCTCCACTCCAGGGCCTGAAGTTTGATGCAACCACCAGCCGGGTTTACTTGCAACAAGAAGCGGTGAGTATTAAGCTAGATCAGCTGTAACTTGTAGTACCTACTCTTAAGCACCAACCATTTAGTTTTGTAGTTGCCCGTCCTCCCACCAACCAACACCTGTACTAGTCCAAGACTCCGAAGTGACTTTTGAGTCGACTTTTGAGTCGACTCAAAAATCGACTTTTGGAGTCGACTCAAAAATCGACTCACCTGTACTAGTCCAAGACTCCGAGGTGACTTTTGAGTCGACTCAAAAGTCTCCAACACCTGTACTAGTCCACATCGTGAATCTCCCATTTCTTTGCCATTAGAGACACCAACAACCCTCTCCCAACTCCTTCCCTCCAACACCTCATCGCTAGTCCACATCGTGAATCTCCCATTTCTTTGCCATTAGAGACACCAACAACCCTCTCCCAACTCCTTCCCTCCAACACCTCATCGCTAGTCCACATCGTGAATCTCCCATTTCTTTGTCATTAGAGACACCAACAACCCTCTCCCAACTCCTTCCCTCCAACACCTCATCGCTAGTCCACATCGTGAATCTCGCATTTCTTTGTCATTAGAGACACCAACAACCCTCTCCCAACTCCTTCCCTCCAACACCTCATCGCTAGTCCACATCGTGAATCTCCCATTTCTTTGTCATTAGAGACACCAACAACCCTCTCCCAACTCCTTCCCTCCAACACCTCATCGCTAGTCCACATCGTGAATCTCCCATTTCTTTGTCATTAGAGACACCAACAACCCTCTCCCACATCGTAGCTGGCTTGGCACAACCCTCTCCCAACTCCTTCCCACCAACCAACACCTCGTCTAGTCCACATCGTTATACTCCCATTTCTTTGCCATTAGAGACATCGACAAACCCATAATTGGCACAACTCTCCTCCAACTCCTTCCCACCCTTTCCCAATCCCTCTCCAACCTCACCCCATCCCTTCCCGTCCTTTCCCAACCCCTCTTCACCCTCTTCCCTTTCCTCCACTCTCCCTTCAGAATCGCACCAAGTCCACGTTTCTAATCTCAAACGTCATTACCATTAGAGACGTCAACGTAATCCCCTCATTGGCGGAACCCTCCCCCAGTCCCTCAGTCCCTCAATCCCCCAGTCCCTCAATCCCCCAGTCCCTCAATCCCTCAATCCCCCAGTCCCTCAATCCCTCAATCCCCCAGTCCCTCAATCCCTCAATCCCTCAATCCCTCAATCCCTCCCCACCAACCCCCATCTTCCCTTCCCCTCCTCCACTCTCCCTTCAGAATCGCACCAAGTCCACGTCTCTAATCTCAAACGTCATGGCCATTAGAGACGTCAACGAATCCCCTCATTGGGGGAACCCTCCCCCAGTCCCTCAGTCCCTCAATCCCCCAGTCCCTCAATCCCTCAATCCCTTAATCCCTCAATCCCTCCCCACCAACCCCCATCTTCCCTTCCCCTCCCCCACTCTCCCTTCAGAATCCCACCAAGTCCACGTCGCTAGTCTCCAACTTCATGGCCGTTCGAGACATCGACGGAACCCTCATCGGTGGCTCTGGGGGCTTCGCCATCGTGCCCTATCTCGCCAAGGTGATTCAGGGCAGAGGTCAAGGTTTGAGACGTCTCACTAACAGCAGTGTCCTTGGATGGTGTAACCCTCATCGGTGGCTCTGGGGGCTTCGCCATCGTGCCCTATCTCGCCAAGGTGGGTCGGAGAGGCTAAGGTCTCTAGATGTTTCATCACACACACTTGACGCGGTGTCACGTGGTGCCGTGTCCATGGTTGGTGGGTCCCCCATTGGCGGCTCTAGGGGCTTCGCCATCGTGCCCTATCTCGCCAAGGTGAGTGCGATGCCAAGGTGGGTCACAGGCTAAGGTCTTGAGATGTCTCATCACACACACTTGACCTGGTGTCACGTGGTGCCGTGTCCTTGGTTGGTGGATCCTCGTCGGTGGCTCTAGGGGCTTCGCCATCGTGCCGTATCTTGCCAAGGTGAGTGCGATGCCAAGGTGAGTGCGATGCCAAGGTGAGTGCGATGCCAAGGTGAGTGCGATGCCAAGGTGAGTGCGATGCCAAGGTGAGTGCGATGCCAAGGTGAGTGCGATGCCAAGGTGAGTGCGATGCCAAGGTGAGTGCGATGCCAAGGTGAGTGCGATGCCAAGGTGAGTGCGATGCCAAGGTGAGTGCGATGCCAAGGTGAGTGCGATGCCAAGGTGAGTGCGATGCCAAGGTGGGTCGGAGAGGCTAAGGTCTCGAGATGTTTCATCACACACACCTGACACGGTGTCACGCAGTGCCGTGTCCTTGGATGGTGTAACCCTCATCGGTGGCTCTGGGGGCTTCGCCATCGTGCCGTATCTTGCCAAGCTGAGCCACATGGCAAGGTGAGTGCGATGCCAAGGTGGGTCACAGGCTAAGGTCTTGAGATGTCTCATCACACACACCTGACCCGGTGTCAGGTGGTGCTGTGTCAATGGTTGCTGGGTCCCCCATTGGCGGCTCGGGGGGCTTCGCCATCGTGCCCTATCGCGCCAAGGTGGGTCAGAGAGGCTAAGGTCTTGAGATGTCTCAGCGCACTTGACCCAGTGTCAGGTGGTGCCGCGTCCTTGGTTGGTGGATCCCTCATCCGTGCCTCTGGAGGCTTCGCCATCGTGCCCTATTGCGCCAAGGTGAGCCAGAGGTTAAGGTCTTGAGAGGTCTCAGCACACTTGACCAGGCCAGCAGGCCCCCTCTCGGGCTGCCAGTACAGAGACCTCTCGGTGGGGTTCACATGCCCGGGCACCTATGTTGCGCCTGACGCGTCAGGCGTTTTTTACGCTGGCGTCTGGACGGGGCGTCCAGACGCTTGACGCCCGGTGCCCTCTGCCCTGGACGCCCGCTTGACGCTAGTCCGGGCAGGGCAAAAATGTTTTCCGGGCAGGGGTAAAAAAACCTGCCTAGTAAGGATACGCAGGGGTTAGAATGCAAGAAGTTAACATTTGTCACCTATAGTTATAAATACTCCATAATATCCAGAAAATCCTGAAAATCTCCAGAAGGCGTGGAGGCACTAACAGAATGACCGGCGGGACTAGGAGTTGACATGATATCTTAATCGCCTTAACCTAATTTTAGCTAGGAAGGCTTAGTAGCGTGACTGGCGAATTCTAGTGTAAGGAATGCTTGACAATGTCGAGAGAACCAGATCTGTGTAATGTCGACCTAGATCTGGTTCCCTAGTTTAGTTGGGGGTCGACCAGGTTGGGAGAAGTAGATGTGGATGGGTACAAATGTGTGGGGGGGAATAAGTGAGGGTTGCGTTTTTTAGGTAAAAAACGCGGCCCCCAGTTGGCAATTTCATCGACAATTCTGGTCGCAATGAAATCGCGAGTCAAATTCGTGCAGGAGAATTTTTTTTCGGGCTGCCCGAATTTTTTTTCCCCGAACGTCCAGTGTCAAACCGATTTGACGCGTCCAGCGTCCGGACGTCCGGACGCTGGACGCTGCCCTTCCAGGGCGTCAGGCGCAACATAGCCGGGCACCTGCTTCCACCTCTTCTCCGCCACCTATTACGAAGCCACCGGCGCACCACCGCTCATGAAACTCCTCCTCACCATTCTCCACCGCTCCCCACTCCCCTGTTTTTCCCTTTCCAGCCTCCTGCAGCTGTTGCGGCCAAGCAGAGGAGCCTGCCAGCAGGGAAGCGACCAGCAGGCCCCCTCTCAGGCTGTCAGTACCGAGACCTCTCGGTGGGGTTCACATGCCCGGGCACCTGCTTCCACTCCTTCTCTGCCACTATTACGAATCCACCGGCGCTGCTGCTGTGAAGGGAAGCTCCCTCCCAGGGCTATTTCAGTTACTGGAACACCTTTCCACCGCTCCCAACTCCCCTGTTTCCCATCCCATCCAGCCACCTGCCACTGTTGCGGCGAAGCAAACCAGGGCCGGGAGGAAGCCAGCAGGCCCCCTCTCGGGCTGCCAGTATCAAGACCTCTCGGTGGGGTTCACATGCCCGGGCACCTGCTTCCACTCCTTCTCCGCCACCTTCTATGAACCCACCGCTGCCGCTGCCGCCGCTGCTGCTGTGAAGGGCAGTGCCTTGCGAGCCTTCGGTTGCTGAAACACCTCCCCACCGCTCCCCACTCCCCTGTGTTCCCCCTCCCACCCATCCAGCCACCTGCCACTGTTGCGGCGAAGCAAACCAGGGCCGGGAGGAAGCCAGCAGGCCCCCTCTCAGGCTGCCAGTACCGAGACCTCTCGGTGGGGTTCACGTGTCCGGGCACCTGCTTCCACTCCTTCTCCGCCACCTTTTACGAATCCACCGGCGCTGCTGCAGTGAAGGGGAGCAGCCAGCGGCCGTACAGCTACCTGGTGATCACAAGAGAGGAGGACGGGGCGCAGTTCACGGCTTATGGGTTTCAGAACGACCCCCTGCCTGTGATCCCAGCCAAGGCCTCTGTCCGCAGGTGGGTTTCCTGTCCAATCACCAGGTTTCTAGGAAGTGTAGACCCTGTAGGGTCAGGGGCTGCTGCTGCAGTGAAGGGCAGCACCAAGCGGCCATACAGCTACGTGGTAATCACGAGGGAGGAGGACGGGGCGCAGTTCACGGCTTATGGGCTTCAGAACGACCCGCTTCCAACCATCCCTGCCAAAGCAAATGCCCGCAGGTTGGTCAGGTGGGTGTCAGCCACGCTTGAAGCGGGGTTCACCTACCGTGCGCGCCTCGTTTCTTGCCTCTTCCACCAACCAACCTGCCTTGTTTCTCCTTCTGTTTCCGTCTTCCTTTCTCTCTCCTTCTCTCTTTTACCAACAGGTGGGTCTCAGCCAGGTTTGAAGCCAGGTTCACCTACCGTGCGCGCCCCGTTGCTCCCCCATCCAACCGATTACCCTTAATCCTTTGTCTTCCTCCCTCCCCCCCTTCCTTCTGCTCTGCTTCATCCCACACAGGTGGATATCAGCCACGCTTGAAGCGGGCTTCACCTACCGCGTGCGCGTCGTTGCTCCCCCATCCAACCAACAAACCAACCCTCCCTTGTTTCTCCTCCCTCCCTTTCCTTCTCTCTCTCCTTCTCCTATCCCACACAGGTGGATATCAGCCGCGTTTGAAGCCGGCTTCACCTACCGCGTGCGCGTCGTCGCTCCCCCATCCAAGGCGGCCTTCTGCCTTCCTATTCACTCCTCTTCCCATTCACTCCGTCTGTCCTCCCCTCCTTCTCCTATCCCACACAGGTGGATATCAGCCACGCTTGAAGCCGGGTTCACCTACCGCGTGCGCGTCGTCGCTCCCCCATCCAACCCGGCCTTCTATCCGGATCGCATTGCGGTGCAGCTGAGGGACGTGGGGGGGTGTGAGGGGCGAGTGAAGGTCTTGATTGAGCCCAAAGATGCAGCAACCAACTGGGTCGCCACCTACAGCCCTCCCACCAGGTGCGCTGTTGTCCCTTCCCAGGTGAGCTATCCCCTTAACCAACTGTGTGAGGGGCGAGTCAAGGTCTTGATTGAGCCCAAGGACGCTGCCACCAACTGGGTCGCCACCTACAGCCCTCCCACCAGGTGCGCCATTAGCCTCTCTCACCTCTCCCCTCCCAGGAGGTGAGTCCTTACCAGGTGCAGCTGAGGGACGTGGGGGGGTGTGAGGGGCGAGTGAGGGTCTTGATTGAGCCGAACAACGCTGACTGAATCCTGCTGAGTCGCCATCTACAGCCCTCCCACCAGTTCCCCCTTTTGAGAACTCTCAAAAGTTATTTGAATATAGCGAGTGAAGGTCTTGATTGAGCCGAACAACGCTGACTGATTCCATCTGAGTCGCCACCTACAGCCCTCCCGCCAGTTCCCCCTTCCTCCATTGCTTTGCGGATCCACCAGTTGCTACTACATAGCTACATGCTTGTGTCACCTTTGAGATTGCCAGAAGCTATACATCCCATTGCTCTGTGCGTCCACCACTTGCGACAACTGTCTTATCTGCATGCTTGTGTTCTGTCACTTTTGAGAATTCTCAAACGTTACATAGCCCATTGCTTTGCGCATCCACCGCCTACCAGAAGAGCTGTCTTTGCTCCAACACCCACCCGCTCTTACGCCTAATCTCACTCCCTGTTGCTCTCTCCCTTTCCTTGCTTCTCCTCCTTCCCCCAGGTGCTCCTCAACGGTGCTCGCCCCATCCACCACCTACCAGAGCTACCTCTGCTCCAGCAGTCGCCGATTTCTGGTCCTAGATTTCGGCGCCCCGGAACAGTCGTACCAGATGCTTGCTATAGCTCGCTCCACCTCATGCTCCTCTACGTCTTGCTAGGTTTTGAGCCGACCCCACTCATTTTCAGGTCAACGCATGAAGATTTTCGCTGTAGCTCGCTCCCACCTCATGCTCCTCTACGTCTTGCTAGATGCTTGGTCGCTCTAGCTTCGAGGCTCCTCGAAAATTCGGTAGATGTTTGAGCGTAGGGGCTGATGTTTGCTGCGGCCAACACCATGGCATGGCACAGTCATACCATACCACCTGATGCTTGCTGTGTCTTTCTCCATGCCTTGCGAAACTCGTCTGTCTTGATTTGTTTGTTCAGTTGTTTCATTCTGAAGTTTTACAGTTGTATTTTAGCTGCAGATTATGGTTTATGTGCTCTCTGACCGCTGATTCGTTTGTTTTGGAATGTATCATTAGAGTTGATTCTTCCTAGTTCTGATTTATTTATTTTCCTTTGGGGTTTGATAGTGCACTCAAGAAGCATACATTCAGTCAAAACTGTTCCCAATAATTTCTACCTGTAAGGAAAATCTCTTTTTCCTTACTTCGCATCCCTGCTCAACGCGTACATCACTGTAGCACCACAGTCAGCACCGTTACCACTCGCAATCCTCGCATTGACAATCCGCCCGCCACTTTCGCACGTCGCACCCCGACCTCACGGCTCGGCGGGTAACCCGCGCTCCGGGCCTCCGCTTCGACACTTTCCCCAACCTCAGTTCCAGGCCCGTCGCGCGACAACCACAGTCCATTACCGTTACCACTGTAGTTTCGCTATATATTCTTCGCCCATGCCTTCGCTCATTGTACTCTTGCTTCGATAGTGCAATTCTCGTTCGATCACTCAATTGCACTCGTAACACTTGGTATTCAGAGCCTACGATCTCTTCTCGGACCGCACCCACACCTTCGCTTCCCCACTATCTCAATTTTTTGGGGGGGGTAGACGTCTCTCAGCGATACAGCACCGCCGCTCGTAGTGCTCTCTCGTAAGCACGCACGGCCACGACTGAGGCTCTCGCTGAGCTCGCCCGACACCCCCGCCATGGCCGAATTCACGCTCGCCACATTGACGCAGGAGCAGCTCGACCGTCTGGTGCGCCAACTCGAAGATTCGGCGCTCGAAATTGCGACGCTCACAGCGGAACGTGACTCCGCGCGTCAGCAATCCACGGTGAACACTCCAGCAGCACCACACGCACCAACAAATGCACCTGCGCAATCGGACGAGCCGATCGTCATCTCGTCCGGTACACCAACACAACACGACAGCATGGGACAGCGCTCGGGCGCAGCCAGTGATAGCGCCGCCCAACCAATGCCTGGCATGGGAGGAAACAGGGGCGCGCCAAGCCCGCGGGAGCCTCGCGAAGACCGTCGGCACGTGGAATTCGCAGCGACAAGTGGCGAACAGGCCTTCATGACACCAATGCCACTCAAGCCGCAACGCCCGCCCTGTTTTGACCCAAGCCAACGTGGAGGTCCGACGGTTCAATCGTGGGTCTTCACGATGAACGTTTTTTTCGACGCGAATTACGTCGAGTCGGACGCAGCGAAAATTCGGTATGCCGTTTCGCTGCTAAGGGGCCCCGCCATGGACTGGTGGCGAGTCATCGTGACGTCGACACGCGCCTATGAGCCACCGTCGCAAGAGGAAGGGCCCACGGGTCCAGCTGTTACCTGGAGTTCATTCTGTGAAACCGCCCAATACAGCACGTGGGATGCGTGGTGCGCAGTGTTAGAATGTAGAACTGAACGAGAATGTGTGAAACTAGGCAGCAGGGTGATACAAGTAGGAAACCCTAGCAATGTTGTACCCCCTAAGGCTAAACCCACTACAGCCTACACAATATGAACATGTATAATGTTTGACACACCCCCATAGGCTAAGTGGGAGACAACCAGATGGTCACAAGACCAGTCAAAGCAAAGCAAAGCAAGCTCAGGGTGGATCTCAAGGAAACCACACAAATTCCGAGCACAAGCAAGTGGTCACAAGACCAGTTCACATGCAGTTTGATAATATAACAAGAGGTACAGTGATCACAACCTAACAAGAGTAAACATGCAGGTATATATATACATATAGATCACAGTACAAGCAGAGTCAAGAAGTGAGCAAGTGAGGGAGAGTAGGCACAAGGCCTAGAACAGTACAGAAACGCTGATGGTCACAAGGCTGAAGCGCCTTGGTGAACACATCAGCAGTGTTGGCCCGAGTGGCCACGTAACGCAGACGAAGCTGACCACGCTGCTGCAGCTCTCGAGCAAGGAAGTAGCGCAGAGCGATGTGCTTCGTCCTGTGCTCCAGTCTGTGCTCCTCACACAAGGCAATGGCGGCCTTGTTGTCAACGTACAGCACTGGAGGAGAACGAGGCCGCTCTCCCAGGTCGGTCAGCAGGTAGGTGAGCCAGCGTAACTCCTGTGCAGCCATGGCTGTGGCGTAGATCTCAGCCTCACAACTGGAGCTAAGAACAGAAGAAGAGCGAGTAGAACGCCAAGAAACTGAACCAGAGCCAAGGCTGAAGGTGTAACCCTGAGACGACCGCTGCGTAGCCTGGTCGTCAGCCCAAGAAGCGTCTGAGTGACCCGTGAGGACAACGTCGCTCCGACCTCCAAGCACGAGCCCCATGCCCGACGTACTGCACAAGTAGCGCAACACCCTCTTAGCGGCATCCATGTGCTCCTTCCGGTGACGGCCGGGAGCGACATAGCGTGCTAGGATGCTAAGAGGGTATGCCAGGTCAGGTCGAGTGCAGGTCATCAGGTACATGAGGCAGCCCACAAGCTCTGGATACAGGCCACTCGGCTCTACGGACTCATCCGAAGGCAGAGCTGAGAGCGAGTGACCGGTAGGCAGAGGAGTGGGCTGAGGCGAGGAGTACGTGAAGCGGAAGCGCTGAAGGACCTGCTGCACCATCTGTGACTGAGTCAAGGTGATGGTGCGCTGTGCTCTATCCCGGGTGATCCGCAAGCCAAGATAGCTTGTCAGCTCACCCAGGTCTGTGCACGTGTGTCTCTTCTGCAGCTCCGACTTCACGTGGGCGAGTGCCTCAGTGTCAGCAGTAGCAAAGACCAAGTCGTCTACGTAAACAAGAACGTAGAACGGCGGCAGAGTGGTGTCGGTGCGTAGAAACAGCGACGGGTCAGCAGTAGAAGGAGCAAACCCAAGAGCAGCAAGAGTAGTCCTCAGTGTGTCGTGCCACTCACGGGGTGCCTGGCGGAGACCGTAGACTGGCCGCCGGAGGCTCCACTGGGTACCAGGAGGGAACGACCCAGTGAAGCCAGGTGGGCGGCGCAGCCAGATCTCCTCGTGCAGGCTGCCCTGTAAGAACGCAGTGCTGAAGTCAAGAGAGTGGAGCTCGTAGTCACGCTGAGCAGCGACGTGCAGCAGAACCCGAAGAGTGGTCATCTTCGGGGTCGGGGAGAAGG